TAAGAAAGTTTTTGGTCCAATAATTACCAATATATATATATATTTTTTTTTTTTTCAGAATTTAGCAGTAGGAAATTACTTGTCATCCAGTTTTTTTATATCATCTATGCATTCCATTAGTTTTGCAAATTATGTATCGTCGGGCCGCAAAGACATATAGAGCTGAGTTTCATCAGCATAGCAGTGAAAGCTAACACCATGTTTCCTGATGATATCTCCCAAGGGTAACATGTAAATTGTGAAAAGCAGCGGTCCTAGTACTGAGCCTTGTGGTACTCCATACTGTACTTGATGATATGATACCTCTTCATTCACTGCTACGAATTGATGATGGTCAGATAAGTAAGATTTGAACTATGCCAATGCAAACAGGTTATGATCTGTGATCATGTCATTTACAAAAAGCGCTTTCATAGAAAGGGGTCTTATGTTCATTAAGCCAAGCTTTATCATTTGTTTATCTGTATTGTATCTGGGGTTTTTTTATTTGTTGAACATCAGTTAAATTGTTACCCTTAAATTTGTTTGGACGTTTTTTGTATTTGCTAGTTCAGGGGAACAGACACAGTCTCTATAGTTTGATATCTAGGTGAAAGAGTCTCTATGTGCTGAGAATTAACTGACTTCTGTGACGTGAGGGGGCTAGCAGACAGTTGGTTTAGCCAGTCTGTCTGCTTCCTAACCTGGGCCCCAGTTTGTACAAACTCTAAGACTGTGTGCCATATTTCTAGAGAGAAGTGTGGCACCACCCTTGGAGGGAGGCTATATTTTATGTGCTGTATAGAAGGAAAAATATTTAATTTCTATTGCATTTTTATGTTATAATTATAATGTTTTATTTTTATTTTTTTAAGGGAAAGTAAATATATTTTCTTAATATCATTTTATTCAGTATTTTTATTATTATTTATATTATAATAGTGGTTGGTAGAAATTCACCATAAAAAAAAAAATATGATGACAGTGTTTCAGGTATTAAGGCTTATTGGTGCTGATGACTATATATTTCATTCAATGATATAATGTTAATTTTCAGTTTTTCATAGTATTTTTACTTTTTTCTGTAAAAATTACAAACATTACAAACTTTTTTACAGTGCATAGTCAGTGTGGTTTTAGGCACTTCTAAAACCGCTGATGAGAAGAAAAATCACAGTAAAGCATGTCCTCTCGTGGAATATTGCTTTATTTTGCCCTACATTTCACTTCATTGTAAGATTTGCTAGTCTATAATACCTTTCAGCCTTATTTTTCCTCTTAAGTTATTGATATTTTCCCCAAGAGGACATGAAGAGTTCAAATAGGCGGCATCACAATGGCCATCATCTCCAAGGGCCTGAACGTTACTGTACAGACCACAGAAATCAATAGATTTAGCATCTGTTCCATGTTCACATGCATCCTGATGCTATTTCCAGTTCTCCTGAGAATTCTATAGCAAGCTTTCAAGATCTGAATGAAAGCTCATTGACAGAAGTAATTATCTTCATAAACGTAGATGATCAGGGAACCATGGTTACATAAGTAACCTGAGACGATTTTCTTTAAGAGTAATTTGATCATTCAGGTCTACCTGTTTTAAGCCCCTTATCATCCTCACCATGATTTTACATACTCACTATCTAGACTGCATATGAACGACATACCACCGCTAATGCACTTCCTCAGGAGGTAAGCCATGATACTGTGCAGAGATGGGAAATAAATGGCTTTTGAACAGAAGAATAATGTCCTGCCTAGCAGAGGAAGTCTCAGGAAGTCAATGGGAGCCTGGAAGCCAAAGGCCACGCAATAGCTACAGGTGAAACTCATTCCTCTCCGACTGACGTAGATTGATTCTACCAATCTGCGCCACTGGTGTCGCAGTAAGTCGAATTTAAATAATTCAACAGGGCCCAGATATTTCCGATTACTTTATTTTTCGCAAGCGAGTTGAATGGCTGAAAAGTGGCCATGCTGAATTGGATTGTGCAGTGTGTTGCTGTAAATAAAGACGTGTTGTGATTGGTTTTCTAGCATGAAGTGAGAGTTTAATCTAGATATACTGTATTTGAGTTTTTCTGGTTTTATTGCATATTTCTCTATCAACAGTTACAAATTTGAGTGTTTTGTAAACTTTATTTCTGTGAATTTTCATTTTGCAGATGCCATACAAAACAGTTTTACAAACATTCAAATGTATTAAAGATCTTTATAGTTGAGATTTCTATATTTGCAAAGTCTATGGCATTAAACCTGATTTCCAGTTGCTGTTATATTCAAATAAAGCAGAGATTATGCATCATAAATACTATATGTTTGTACTATTCTCTTCAAACTGATGCTCTGCCATAACAGTAGACCTATAAACTGACTGTAGAAGACCTAATGACTGCTATGGCGCACCATTGTGTCAACACTGAGAATGTAAAAGCGGTTGTATAGACTAGTCCATTTGTTTTACCAGTAGTCAATGTGTTGATAGCCGTGGATGATGTTATGCTTTTTCTGCTCGTGGTGTACTTGGATTGCAATTGAATCATGATGCATTTTTTGGACACAATAACCTGTGAAATCAAGCTTGCCTTGTTAGTACCATTTGCTTTCTAAGACTATATCATTAAGTTTGTGGTCAGTAAGATTGTTTTGTTTTATTTGAAAGAATGTAATAGTTTTATTCTGTTATAGTTTTATTTTATTGTTTACTGTATTTTGATCAAATAACTGCAGCCTTGGTGAGCATAAAACACTTTCTTTCAAAACCATGAAAACTTTTGAATGACAGTGTCTGTTTTGCGCATTACACCTATGGAGAATTCACAGAAGATTTTTGAGTGTGGTATTTTAACACAAAACTGCCATCTTATTCACTAACAAGTCACAATCTATTTTAACCAGGACTAACTGTGCTGGAATCAAGCTACATCATGCATTTTTAAATTAGATTGTCAACTTATTCACAAAGAACAGTGCTATTTTCCTTGTGCAGTTAACGTTGCACTACACTTTTGAAATAAATGTTCCAAAAAAGAGGGTTTTGCAGTGATACCATAGACAAACAATTTTGGTTCCCCAAAGAAGCTTTCTGTGAACAGTTCTTAAAATAATCATTGTTTTTCTTAGTGTGGAGCAGTAGCATTGGGGGTAGCATTACAAGTAATGTGAGTTACGTAATCAGATATAAACTGCAATAATTATATATGTTAAATAACACAAATATCCTTTATGTATTTCATCCCATTTTATTAACCAATGTCGTTGCTGCTGACCTTCAATGATCCAATTCAGCCATACAAATAAATATGTTAGATAAACATAACATTTGTGTTTCTTTCTCTCTCTCTTTTTTTTACGTTCTACTGTACATACATTAATTTATATTTCCTTCAGCCTGAGGCTTACTCATTTCACTTTTGGTGTGAAAGGGCTTTTACATTTGCCAAAAATAGAACTTGTTTATATTAAAAACAAACAAGCAAGCCAGCCAGATTTAAAATATAACACAAAAGTAACATAAAGCATTACTTTCCATAAAAAGTAACTAAGTAATGTTAAAGTAACTAAGTAACATTACTTTTAAAAGTAACTTTCCCAAACACTGATGTGAAGGACAATTACTAATCTAAGGAAAGTTTTTCTACTATAAAGAACCTTTTGTGCAATGGAAAGTTTAATGGGTTTTAAAGGTTCTACATTTATTTATTTATCTTTTTCTCCTTTATTTTTAAGAGTGTATAAATGGCGTAAATGGATTTTGTTTGCACATTTTCCAGTGATCATGCCATAACAGCTTTAGGGAGTGCTTTCACAGCACCATTTCAATTTAAAATGGAAAACGTTTTGTCTGTTCATTTACATGACAATGGCGTTTTGGGGGCCTGAAAGCACTACCTTTTGAAAATGGGTTTCAAAGTTTTTGAAAACAATACCATTATCATCTCCATGTAAACTACAAAATTTGTGAAAACAGTGTCATCATGCACATGCGTATTATGTGTTCAGTATGTGCAGAGCGCAAGGTGCGTAGTGTTTCTTTACAAAGTGACATCACCAACTAGTGGCCTGGCATGCATAATACAGCGTTTTTCGTCGTTTTCACAGATCCGTCTGAATGGGAATTGTTTTGACAACATTGTCTTCTGTACGTGAAACTTTTCAAAAACACAAAGGAGATACTTTTCCATTTTTAGTACAATTATTGTCGCCTAAACGTACCCTTAATTTGTAAAATTATCAATATGATGGCATTTTAAATTTACAGTCAGTCTCCAGCAAAACTCACCAGATCATGATAATCTGCTGCATCCTCCACAACCGAGCACTGAGAACAACCCTGTGCAAAATGTGTTCAGTGTAATTTATTACCCATTTTCCCTAGTTAATTCCTTTAGTAACTCCCCCACTAAAGCAGCACAGACAGCATGTACTTTTATTGTATGTACTTATATTGTCAGTGCATTCTCCCCTCAGTCTTTTGAGTGTAAGACTGTTAGAGTGTGCGATTCTGAAGCAGTGACATCAAAATCTGCACATGCTCCTCACCATGCAGCGCTTCTGATGTTCAAGGCCTTCCCCTCCTTCAAGACATGTGAATCAGTCATTCTGTCCATCAAATAAAAAATAACCCACCGTCCATTCATTTCAAGACGGTGCACGATCAATATCATCAATCCCAGCTTCCCTTCTTGTTTTCTTCCCCACAGTTTCTCGCTCAGTTCTTCTCTCCCTCTCTCTCTCTCTCTCCCCTCTCCCCAGCTGTATCCATTTCCTTCTGGCAAAAAGGGACTTTATGAATAAATGATACTGAATAGCTGAAGGTTCAGATACTAAATAATGAATTTCACCACCAAAAACACAACAACTTCTCCAATCATAAAATAGCGCTCCCCTTCCATATTGATTGTGCTTTGCTTTGGCAAACCAGATGCAGAGCAACACAGGCAGCATCCATGTGCGCGTGAGAGAGCGTGATTCCGTGCAGGAGGGTTAGACGAGTCCCTCCGACCCCAAAGCAGTGGAAGCTGGGACTCGGGCTCCAGAAACGCCGCTGCGGCACCAGAGTAGGCTGCCACGGCGTTCCCACCGGCTTATATCCGCATGGAGTGGAACGTGCCCGAGATGGAGAGGAGAAATATAATGGGGAGGGAGAGCAGGGGGAGGGGGACGGGTTAAATTCAGCGAAAGAACTTCTTCATGGGACGTCTCTGATACACAGTAAGTGCAGTCATCTGTTCTGTGGCTTTTTGCAGCGAGGGCTGATGATGGTGTTGTGTGTCTGCGAGTCCGTGTGAACGCGTGAGCGTGTTGAAGCGGGAGAGAGAGGAAGCGGGGTGGCTGAATTAGGGGCTGTCTGCTCACTCAAGGAAGTTGCTTTCTAACTTATGAGGCTGGTCAGGTGTGTTTATGTCACGCAATCTCTAAGGGTTTTCTTCAGAAACTGTGTGTGTGTGTGTGTGTGTGTGTGTGTGTGTGTGTGTGTGCATACAGATATATATATGTATATATGCATTTCCAGATGTATAAATTGGCATTATTAATTATAAACCAGCATGAATCAACAATATTAAAAAATTTGATTAATAAATTATGTTAATTGGTAGTTCATGTCAAGATACCTAATGCAACTAATGTTAATTCTAATGTTAATGTTAAGTTAACTAATGGTAGTGACACTTTTTTCAACAGTTTATTTTTAATCTATTTATATGTGTTGACAATCGTTTCAGACCTAATTGGGTTTGTTTAAATAAATTAGTTAATACACTAAGAAACTGGAGAAGCAAGTGTTATTGTTAGATGCTATTATTAAAGATGACTACAAAAATAAAATGCATCTTCCAACATCTATTTTTGTTGTGTCTTTAGTAATAAAACCTTCTTTAGAAAGTTTACAACATTTTTAAAAATATATATTTAAAAATTGCTTTTTTCAAAAATGGCATAAACTGAATGCACTCATTCGTGTGAATCTGAATACAGATTAAAATCCACATCCCTCCCCCAAAGTCAAACAGACATGCAATCACATTCACACTTTGAAATCCTCTCAGTAAATGGGTTCAGGTTACCGACCTCGTTGGTAAGCGCATATTCAAATAGTGCCGTGAGTGTTAAATTACTGACATCTCAATGAATATGCAGATGCAGTGAGGATGTCATGATGCAAGCATGTGACCTCACATCAGTGAGACTTGCAACAGTTTAGAATCTGAACAGCTTCTGTTTTGAGATAAAAAAACGTTTTGAGTTTTGTTGTCATGCAATGGGTGCATTTAGCATTATGCTGTGTTTTTAATTTGCTTTGAAGGTATTGTGTTGCATGCATTCCCCTGATGGATATTGTTAGAGAGGCAGTGTTCAGTGTCCCTTGCGGAGGAAGTGAGATTTCTTCTGTTCATGTTTCATTCATTTCCACCATTGATCATCGGATCTGTTGGGATTGAGGATGTATACATGCACTGCTTCTTATTCAAGCTTAAAAGAAACTCATATTCTGATTTCTTACTTACAGGATGTTGAAATAAAATGAGCAGTTCTTGTCTTTTGTTAAACCTCAGAATTTAACTATTAGTTTAGCTTGAACCACTTAATATACAGACTATATTCAATTTTGTATATAATGTTTATATTTTGTAGATAATATCCATATATTTTTGGTTTATACTGTATATTAATAGAATGTTCAGCATTTGAAATGTAACCAACAGCAATGACGTCTTTGTTCAAATTAAACGCTGAATTGTGATTGGTACTCTTCTTTACATTTGAATACTGACTTTTTATTGGTCTTGTATTGCATGCATATTTAAATATTCATATTTATTATATATTTAATTGTCTCGGTTCTTGTGCACCACCACAGACAGAAAACAAAATGTAAAAACCAAAACCTAATCTTATTTACAAATTTTACATTTCCATCCGGAAATAATTGTATATTTATGTGGCCAGTGCAGTAGTAATTGATTACATGTCATCTAGATTAAGTAATCAAATTCCAAAAATTAAGTCCTCGCCATTAGATTACATTTTTAAATGTTTGTAGTAAGATTACAGTTACTTTTTTATAGATTACATGATTACATATTATTCACACAATGACAGTAAGTTATTCCTAATTTGATTTGCACTAATTCTTCGTTTTCTCTCTCTATCTTAAATTTTCGTTTCTAAAATTCTATTGCTTTTACACATTTGGAAAGTCTTCCAGCTTTTCATCAACTCACAATCCTCCTGTAGTTCATTCATGAATCCCTGGCATAATGTAAAGTTTAATACACGTCATGATGTTGATGATAAAGAATGGAGTATATTTTAGGTCAAAAGTAATCAAAAAGTAGTCAGAATACATCCTGTAATCCAATAGATTACATTACAAACTATAATTTCTGTCATGTAATTTGTAATTAGTAATGGACTACAATTTGTAAGTCATCTACCCAGTACTGTATATGTGGCACATATCAGCATTTAATTTACCTTAGATAGAGGTGAAAATCCATTTTCGAATATGAGAGAGAGTGAAAGAGCGAGCGAGAGAGCGTCACACTTCATGGTAGAATTTCTGAGAGCACTATAAAAGTTTGATGTTAATCAAGGTGAATTGGGATTGGAGATGACAGGTCCACTCTCCTCCTCTTCCCCCTGTCTGACTCAATTAAACGCAAGTGCAGGAAAATTTCACATTTCACCCAGATGAGATGCAATCACACAAAGTTGCTTACCTATTTTTTGCACACTTCTACACAGTGTGTACAGTATGACCCTGCTGTTGCAACATTCAAGACCCGATAAGGGAAAAAAGGTGGAAAGGACATGTTTTTGCCTATACAAACAGCACCCTAGTTGTGTTTAGTTTTATTTTAATTATTTGTAAACACTGAACTTTTTTTAAACTGTTTTTAAGTTACACTGTATATTACTTCAGTGTCGTTTAATGAAAGTTATTTAGCCAATGTATGATCATGTAAATATTATCAGCATCGATATTATCATGTCTACCTGGCCAATTAACAGGAAAAAAAGTTGTTTTTAATGCATTTTGAGTAGTTATTAAGTTTGTTTAATTTTGATGATAATTTTAACATTTTGTAAACCTATGTGACCATTGTATTTCGCATTTCATATACATGAAATTATGCAGCCATATATTGGGGAAAGAATCTGAAATTTTAAAATAATAATAATAAATAAAATAAAAAACATAAAAATGTATGTGTTTGTATATATATATGTATATATATATATATATATATAAAAATGAAATTATACGGCCTATATGTTGGCGAAAATTTCAAAAGTGAATTTTTATATATTCTTTTACTCCACTTTTTTAAATGTATTTATTAAGTTAAATGCATGT